ACTCCAAGACTCTTTGGTTGGAGGCTATGAAACATGAAAACAAACCTACAAATTATGAAGCCCTGAGCTTTTACCATCCAAATAGTTTATAATTCTAAGATCCCCCCCCCCCCCCCATCCCCTCCATCACAGTCTGGTACTCCGTCCTTCCAAAATCCTAACTCCTTATTGCAAAAAGATTCTCGGATCATAAAATGTCATGATTCGAGTTGACTCACTTCTTGGAAGATGCAATACTATGAAGGAGACAGAGGGAGGCTAGGGTGCTATGGCTGCCTCGTACTAATTGCTCGTGACTCTGTCATCCGGTCCTTATCGGCTCCTTAAAGCCAGAGAGAAGCCGGCCAACCAATGAGGTGGTCTGATTGCACAAGGTGGCAGAAGTGGGGGCTGGGATTCTTCCCGGACCCTTTAATCCGAGACGACCATCCCTTCATTTTCCTAAGGAAATCAATGCTGCCGAGATGGGAACGTGGAGAGATCTCCCTTCGAACCAAGCCAATATATAAACAGCGGCAGGCGTTGGGTAAGGCTTCGGCAACTTGAGGAGAGCCATCAAAGCCCTGCGCACATTCCTTCATCGAGTCGTATTTAACGAGGGAGAACCCGCCATGAATGTAAAGTCTGACCAGATTGAAGGTGGCTTGACCTCAGGATGAGGAATGTGGATGGAATGATCTGGGCCATGGGAGGAGTTGAGCCTCTTCAGCTGGAAGAGGGAAGCTAATTAGCACCACACTGGGAATGTCGTGGTATCCATGAGTCAGACCAATGGGAAATACGCTTTCGTTCTTATCTTAACTTGGAAGTGAAGACCTGGCATGGACGGGCCACAGAAGCAGCTGGCTAGGGATAGAGTGCCAGGATGGAGACAGAGAGGGTGACGGGGTCAAAGAGAGATTGAGAAGAGCCATTTTGGGGTCCTGGGAGGGCATTTTGTACAATGCATGGGGGGTGGGTAAAAATCTCATCACCGATGTCATTGCAAAGATCTCATTACTTGGTGCCAACTTTTGGCAACGAACGACACGTGCAAAGAGGGAAATTTCTCTCCAAGTGAAAAAAGGGATTCTGACACCAGGTGGCCATAGGCAGCACAGATAAATTGAGTCAAACACAGAAGTCTTCACCCTCGACAGTACTGATGTTTGGAGTCAGATACTTCTTGTAGAGGACTGTCCTGTACACTGTGGTGTATTGAGAAATATACCCCTGGGTCCCTGGTCTCCAACCAAGAGATGCTAACAGCACTTCATGCTTAATTTTGACAATCAGGCATGTCTTCAGACATTGCTATGTGCAGAACTTGGGGAAAAGAGTTCATGGGACATGAGTGGCTCAGTGGGTTAAGCATCTGACTCTTGGTTGTGGCTCAGGTCAGGATCTCATGGTTCGTGGGTTCAAGCCCTTCATGGGGCTCTGTGCTGACAGTGTGGATCTTACTTGGGACTCTCTCTCTTTCCCTCTCTCTCATTCTATCTCTGCCCCTTCCCCACTAGCACTCTCTCTCTCTCAGACTAAATAAATAAACTTTTTTAAAAAAAGAGTCCAGATGACCCAAATGGTGTCTGTGACTCTTAGCCATGGCCAGAGAAAGATATCCATGAATGCTTTTACGTGCACATAATTAGCAATTCAATATCAGAATTCTACTATGTGCCACTCAGAGTGTGTTGTGTGTAATTATGCTGACTGTCAGTAACGTTCTCCTTCCGGGGAGAGGATTCAGACATTCTCAAAGAATTCTTTGTGGTGGCGACTTCACTGAGCCTTAGTTAAAGAATTCCTCTAGGTATGACAGTGAATCTGAGTATGCAAGGTGGGCTTTTGGGGACACAAACAAATATAAAGCTGTCCTTATGGGAGACTGTATGAACTGGGTGGATTGCTTTTTGAAGATGCTGCATGGCAAGATGGAATAGGAAATAAACACTCGATAAAGATGAGATAGATCAGGGCACCTGGGTGGCTCCGTCAGTTGAGCATCTTGGTTTTGGCTGAGGTCATGATCCCAGGGTCGTGGGATCAAGCCCCGCATCCCACTCTGTGCTGAGCATGGAGCCTGCTTAAGATCCTCTCTCTCCCTCTGCCTCCCTACGCCCTCACGGCGGTGCATGGTGTTCAGAAGGCTTCTGAGGGTGTGTCAGTGCTCAGGAGAAACATGACTGACGCAGGACGTCCGCTGTGCCTAGGACAGGGGCTTTGTCAGCCTCAAGGCTACTTCACCTCCTCCGGGCAGTCTCCTGATCAAACGGGGAGTCCGACAGAGCCTTCTAACTACCCAGAAGAGGCGCGATTAGAAAGGGCGCCACCCAGAGGCAGAAGCAGAAATCCCAGCAGGTATTCCCAGGGAGAGAACTTAGTACAGGGAATCGGTGGCTCTGGTGCGGGCAAACTGGGAAGGCAAACGGGGCCAGAGGCAGTGATTGTAGGACGCCACTGTCACCCTTGGGTTGAAGGAGCGAGTGGAGAAGCTGGGGGAATAAACACCCACACCACACCAAGCCTGGAGGAGGGACCGGAATTCTGCCGCGGCTTCAGGGTTCTGGGCCTGGGGATCCGTGCACAGCTTGGGCACAGACCCAAGGGGGAAGAGGCGGGCTAGCGCCGGCAGGGAGAGCCGCCTGGGCCCCCCACCCGTCACCGCCAGGGCGAGGCGCCCCTGCTGCGGAGAGCAAACCTGCCGCACAGAGGCCAGCGCGTCCCTTCGCGGGCGCTCACGTCTCCCGCTAGCGCCCCCTATGGGCAGAGGCCAGCACACACCCAGCGGGCAAAGCAGAGAAGCCTTGCGCAGGCTCCCAGCCCTGGGCCCCAAAGACAGAGACTCAAAGAGCGGGTCTGGAGCCCAGAGACGATGGTTAAGCCGCTTGCGCAATTGCGGAGGCTCGAAGAGATGAACCGACTCGCCGAGAGGCCGCGCCCTTCTAACTCTGGGCCCCTGTCTCTGGGCTCCGGTGACGTAGACGTGCGCAAGCTCCTGGTAAAGAGGCGGGTACTGATCTTATCTTACTACTCAAGTCTCCAGCACGCTTTGCCCGGCATCAGGCCCTTAGAAGTACTCCCTCATCTCCCTTCGCCAGAACTAGGTCTCTGAGCCAGAGGGCATCCTGCCTTCCGCTTGTGGAATCTCAACTGCCTTGCCTTCGGATCCACTTTCCAAATAGGTTAGCATGGCATCCAGTGGGGGTTCCCCCCAGTGGGGGAACCAGGCGGGGGACTCCTGCGGGGGGGGGTGCGTCCCCCGCACCCCCAGCACCCCTTGAAGTCTCACGGGAGCCTGCCCCCTCCGACCGTCTCCCCAAGATGCTGGGACTTCTCATGTGTAGTAGGCACCTGACCGCACAGACTTCCATTCATTTGTCAAGTTGCATCTCTCCTGGACGAAGACGCGCTTCCCACCCCACCGCAGGGCCCGTGGAGAGAAGCGTATTCCTCAAGGCACTGGGCCAAAGTCCTCCTGCCCGAGCTGTAGACTCGGCCGGAACCTGCATGCCCATTATGCAGAGACGTTCAATATTTTACTCGGGTGGGGAGCGGAGAGGTGAGGGGCGGAGGCCAAAAAAAAAAAAAAAAAACCAACCCAAAAACAAACCACAGAGATTTCTTGCGAAGTGAATTTTTTTCTCCTCTTTCGGGCTCCATCCATACTGAACCCTACACTCTCTTTTGTGAAGGCAGAGCGGGCAAAAACCCGGTGAATAAAAGTGGGAGCTTGATTTTATGCTAATATATGTAAAGAACGTGACTGTGGAGCCACAAGTAACACAATGAACTTAACTTTCCCCCCCTCTCATTTTATTGAATTATAATGACTAGTTTCCATAGCAATTACTGCATCACCTTGTACATTACCAGAAAGATCTACTGCACTTTTCCCCAGTCATCCTTGTAAACATTTCTACCTTTTTTTTTTTTTTTTTTTTTTACGATGTTCTGGGGGGAAACACGAGCCCTTTCAGCTTGGCAGCGGTTGGAGAGCATATTTCAGGAGATTAATAAAGCCAACCGGGGTATTTTTATTTTCTAAGTTCTGCAGTTGGGTTTCCATCTTCACCCTCACCAGCCACTTGTCAGGCAGACAAAGAGGGGAAGAGGTGGGCAGGAGAGAACAGAGGAGCTGGGAGCTGAAGGGAGAGGCACATGAGTCAGGAGGGACTCGGAGGAAAGAGTGAGCATCAGGATCCCGTGTTTGTGCCTCTGCTGGTCCTGGAAGAGTTTGAGGGCAGTCCTCTGGGGTTGCGAGCCTCTCCCTTCACACGGGGCGCAGAGGACAGGCGATGCTCGCCAGCTTACAGAAGATCGGATTTGGGGGACACACAGAAGATCGGGCTTGAGTGTCTGAGACCCCCATTGCTTCTGAGCTTCCAGAGTGGGTGGGGAGAGGGGCATCTGGGCGCCCTTCCATTCCAAACCCCGCTTTCCCCAGTGGGGTCCTTTGATGGGTTTTTCATCTTGGCTTCCCACATTCTATTTCATTTCCGGAAAGCCCTCTGGAGCTGATGGCTATTTGCAGGCACCTCTTTCCAGCTGAGAAATGAAGGAAGTGAAACCTAAATGGGAGCGAAGGGGCGGTGGCCGCTGCTGTGAGTCAGAAGGACGCCCGGCTGGTCCCGTTGCGCCCTGCTGAAGGTCAGGGGCAGAGCTCACCGTCACTGGCCCCGCTGGGTAAGAAGACCCTGTGTTGAGCTGTGGGAACCCCATCCAGGGGCTCAGAGCTCCCAGCCCAAGAGAGGGGCAACGGCCACAACTAGAGCCCTCAATGCTGGGGGCACCTGGGGCCTCTGCCGGTTAAGTGCCTGACTCCTGATTTTGGCTCAGGTCATGATTTCAAGGTTTGTGAGTTTGAGCCCCACGTCGGGCTCTGAGCTGGCAGTGCGGAGCCTGCTTGGGATTCTCTCTCTCTCTCTCTCTGCCCCTTCCCCGCTGTGACCTCCCTCTTTCAAAATAAATAAACAAACCTTAAAAAAAGTTTAAAGCCTTCAACACTTTATTTCATTTGAAAAGGCACCTGCTTTGCCCCCATTTGCGCAGCAGCCCTCTGCCCCTGGAGGGGTCAGAGGGGACAGCGATCCCCACTAGCACAGCGGTTAGAAACTCTTGCGCTGAAGTCCAGCTGCCTGCCTTCCAGTCTCCCAGGGCACCTCTCACAGGCTGCGTCTGGAGGCCAGTGGTTTCCTTTGTTCTGCCTCAGTTTCCTCATCTCGAAAGTGGAGCTAATGGCTGAACCCACCTGAGTGGCATTTGCGCGGAACAAGGATGATGCCAGTTAAGTGCTCACACCTACAGGGGCCTGTCATTCCCCACGGACTTGTGTGTACTCACCTGTACCTGTGGCGCGCCCTCCAATGAGGCCAGTGCCATCCCAGAGCCCTGACTCTCCCAGCTGTAAAATGAGAAATGTCTGCTAGGTGGTCTTGGAGATTCCTCCTTGCTCTGAAGGGTTTTTGGATTCTAACAGCCTAGCTGGAGGGAGGGAAGAAGGAAGGGGGTAAGGGAGAGAGAGAGAGAATGTGTAAGAGCAGATGCCTTAAGCAGAAGCAAAAAAAAATCCCTAAGTGACAAGAAGCTCTAAGTTCACCAAAATGCTTAACCAAGATAAGAAGGATGTAGCCAGTGTTGGAAAGATTGCTGTGAGATTAATAAAAGTGATTAGGGGCTTAAGACTTCTCCAAAGAGATAGCAATGGGACCACCAATGGGAAACCCCTTCCTGTCCTCTGTGCACAGGCTCCCTCCTTGATTGGTAAGCCCCCGGTCATGCAGGCATCTAACAAAATGGTCTCAGCGGATGCATACATAGAAGCCTGGCTAAGCCCATCTTCGACACTGGAAAGGTCCCCTGTGTATATATGCATATACACACGTACGTAGTCAGGTGACGGGATGCCCAAAGGAGTAAGGGGTACCTTGAGGGCCTGGGTTGGGGTTGGGATTACTCAGTGAGGCTGTCCCATGGAATGCAGGACCCCCAGATGGACAAGTCTGAGGGAAGTGGCCTGGACATGAATCAGGCATCATAAGGAAGTTGGGGCAAAGGGAGGGGTGGGGGCTACTCAGGAACTGAGAGACCGTGATGGTGCCAGCCCGGTGGCCGAGGCTCAGTTCTATCACCTGTGAGCTGGGGATAAGGATGCACCCCCTGTGTCCCCTGTGTCAGGGCCGGAAGGCACACGAGCAGGAACGTGCTCTGCAGAAGCTGAGCTCCCTTTGCAAAGCCCTTTCCAGTACCCTTGCTGGAAGATTCTGTGCTTTTCTCTGGTGCTAAGATGCCATACAGGAACCTGGTCCGAATGCCCCTTCTCATTTGGTAATTGGCTCCGAGGGAGGCAGTGTAGTAAGTCCCAGAGACCGTCGTTCCTCAGGATGAAACCCGACTCCATCTTTTACCAGCGGTGAGGTCTTTCTGGTCCTTCACCTGGAAAATAAATGGTGGTGACTTCACCGTCTCACAGCCATAGGAGAGGCCCTGAGCCAGAAGCACCCAACGAAGCCCCTAAAGTCCGGACCCTCAGACACTGCGAGGTAACAAAGGTAGCTTGGTTTACATTGGGGTCATTTGTTATGCAGCAACAGGTAACTGATACAGGTGATAGGTCTGGCTTGCCGTCACCTTCCTGGAGTGGATGCTAACAGAAGCGTTGTACTAGAAATGACAAGTGTGGTTTTGTGGTGGAAGTCACCAAGACATCTCAGCTCCAGCCCCCTCCCCATTCCAGTCCAAAGGCTTCTGTCTTCCTTCGAGGATGTGTTCAGCGGTAAAGGATAAGCTTCATTTTACAGACCAGTATCCTGAGGTCCAGAGACGGAAAGTGGCTTAGCTACCCTCACGTGACAAGGCAGATGCAGAGCTGAGTTTAAACATCGGGTCTCCTGGGGCGCCCGGGGGGCTGTTGGTTGAGCCTCCGATTTCAGCTCAGGTCATGATCTCATGGTTTGTGGGCTCAGGCTCTGCGTCAAGCTCTGTTCTGACAGCTCAGAGCTTGGAGCCTGCTTCTGATTTTGTGTCTCCCTCTCTCTCTGCCCCTCCCCCATTCATGCTCTGTCTCTCAAAAATAAATAAACGTAAAAAAATAAAAATAAAAAAATCGGGTCTCCAGACACACCATATATGCATTCTTCTGTTCTCTGAGTAGGTACTTACTGAGTACCTACTGTCTGCCCTGCTAGTACTGTGTACTAGGTGCCTTCCTCACTGTCCTCCCTCGGGGAGGTAGCCTCAGGCAGGCTCAGTTTCCAGGCCTCTGAGAAAGGGTGTTGTGCACCAGTTGGGGCCCAGTTGTGTGCCCCTGGCTCTGTCCAAGTGACAGGAGAGATAAAGGAGAAAGGTCATCACCGCCCAGGCTCCGTCCTGAGCCCCCGGTGGCTGGCACGGGCCAGGATGTGTTAACTCTGAGTGGACAGAGAGATGCCACCCGGAAGAGCCAGCCGCTCGGCCCTCACTCACACGACTCCCCTGGGAGCCATGGCCTGGTCCCCAGCAGCCCTTCCTGAGAGGACAAGGAAGCCGTCACCTAGCTGCTAGGGGCGGCCTCCTGGCAGCTGTGGGGAACAGTTGTGCAGCCTCAGCCACGGCGGCAGATCCCTGCGAGGTAGAGGGGAGGGGTCGGTCAGCGGGCACGGCCGGCCTCGCACAGAGCGGTGGGCACTGCGCGCTGGCCGCTCCTGTCCCGGCTGGGGTGGGCCAGGGAGTGAGCGCCCGGGGGTGGCGCAGTAGGGTGGGCGGTCTGTTCGGGGGTGGGGGCACCGCCGCCCTCCGCCCAGGGGTAGCGGCCGTCTGGCCGGGCAGGCGGATGGGCTCGGCGCTCCCTGCGCAGGCGGGCTCAGTGCGGGGACCTGGGCCCTTCTTCGTGGCCCAGAGCGCGCAGCGCCCCACGGGTCCTGGGCTTCTGGGCATTTAGGACCAGGCCATCCTTTGCGGAAGGGGCTGTGCTGGGCATCTGGGCTGCGGGGCGGCATCTCTGGCCCCTGAACACTAGATGCCAGGAGCACCCCCACCGCCCCCAGAGCCGTGAAAACCAACAACGTCTCCAACATTCCCGGGGGCAAGGTCGCCCCAGACTTAGACCCACAGCTCCGTCTCCCGGGGCCCACACTCCCCCACCCCAACTGCCGAGCCCTCGGGATGGGTCGTCCGGCAGCTTCCGCCGAGCCTCACGGTCTCCCCAAACCGCGGCCCCATGATGCGGTCTCCGTTTACAGGGCAGGACACGGCGACGTAGGAAGGTAGGGTTCGTACAGGTTCGGGGTAGAAGGAGGACTCGAGCCCCAGGTTTCTGATTCTCAGCTTGGCCTTCGGGGTGTCCCGTTCTGTGCTCGGTGGCACTCAATAACTAGTTTTTGAATGAATGCATACAGGCATGAACGAATGAAGTTTCTCCTGACCCACCTTGAGCAGAGTGTTCTAAGCCTGGGGACCTGAGGGGCTCTGAGCCGGGATTCGCTGGCTGGTGGAAGAGAGGGGGCCGGGGGCTGAGGTGCGGCCAGAGGGCAGCTGTCTGCGGGGCACCCTGTCCTGGGAGGTGAGAAGGGACAGAGGGCTGCGTTCGGCCCCCACTTTTCCCTGTTGCTCTGGCCTCCACACTGCCCTCCTGCCTCCAGCTTCTCTCTCTCTCCCTCTCTCTCTTTCTCTCTTTCTCTCCCTCTCTCCCTCTCTCTTTCTCTCTCTCCCTCTCTCTCTCTTTCTCTCCCTCTCTCTCTCTTTCTCTCTCTCTCTCTCTCTCTCTCTCTCCCTCTCTCTCTCTTTCTCTCTCTCTCTCTCTCTCTCTCTCTCTCCCTCATCTGTTTTCATCTCAATAGCTGGAGCCATATTCCAAACAGACCAACTTGATCACCTCAAGGCCTCACAGACCTGCTATGGCTCCCTATGGACCGTGGATCAGAGACTTTTGCCTGTTTTGAAAATGCTTCCTATTCTGGTCCAGGTCAGCTTCAAATGATCAGAATAGGAACCATACGTAGAATACGTAAAGGAAGGAATCCATGTGGCCGCAGGTGACGTATGGCCAGGTGCCAGTAAGCATGGACTCTCAGCATCCTGAGTCTCATGTGCGTAGCAGTGCCCAGTGCCCTGCTCTTAGGGAAGCAGGATGTGGGCTGTGGCTGGGAGACTGGCTGAGGGCTTTCACAGCATGGAAAACTCTCAGCTTCTGGGGTCAGACAGGCCTTCTGCTGTGTGACCTGGGCCAGGTTACTCTACCTCTCTGAGTGTTCATTATGACTTGTCAATAATGAGAGGGAAAAAAAAACAACTGACTTTCCATCTTGGTTCTGAGAACAAGATGATGCATGTCAGATGCATCATCACAGTGTGTGGTATATAGTAGGCACTTCCTACTTGTTACAGCAAGAATCCATGAATCATTTAATCCTCAGAATACCCTGGCGAGGGGGATCGGTGTTATCCCGATGTAAAGATGAGGAAACTGAGGCTGGAGGAGGAAGGGGCCTGTCCAAGGCATCCTGGCCCTAGTTCTGACCCAGGGCCACCCGACTGCACTGTCTGTTTCTTTGGAAGCCCGTTCCCCGAGGCCCCAGGGACAGCTGGGCACCTGGAACGTTACCCCAGCGGGCCGACCTGCACAGCTGAGCTAAGCCGGCCGAGGCAACTTAGTGCTCGGGGACTCTGGGGTCCCCTCCAGGCCCCCCGGTGCTTGTGGCTTGTGTCTGAGCAACGCTGAGTCAGGCAGTAAAGGGGAAGCTGCTCCTGAGACGGCCCCTGGGTGGGAAAACTAAAGTCCCGGCCAACCTCGGGGAGGTCCCTGGCACCGCTCTGCTCTGAGATGGAGCGAACGGGCCCAGACGGGGCAGCTGAGCCAGAGTCCTGCCATTTCGACAGAGATTTAGGGGCAGCGAGTGGGAGAGCCAGACTCACTGGCTGCTGAATTTACTGATCTTTTCAGCGAGGTCAGCGGGAGGGCCCTTCTGCGCCAGGCAGTGTTGGCACTTGGGCTCGCCGACTCGGTGGCGATGCCCAGCGCCTCCCTGCATGACGGGGCCGGACGGCGGGAAGCCAACCTGCCTGTGTGCCGGAATCTTTGGGGGGGGATTCATGGCTATCTCTCCATGGAATTTCAAAGCACAGGCGTCCCCCAGGGATCCTGCTTCGAAATTTTCAAGCCCGGGGAGCCCCCATCCAAGTGTGTAGTGACGCTTGCTAGGTACCGGGCAGAAATCACCGACTTAACAGCCATGAAGTGTCGCTGGCATCATTCTGTTTCATAGACACAGACGCCTCAGAGATGGGCTGGGTTTTGCGTTGTACGCATGGGCTGCTAAACCTTCTGCGCGCTGAGACTCAGAGAGGTGAACTGAGCTGCAAAAAACCAGCTTGTTCATTAGAAATTGAGACTTGTTTAAGCTCCTCCATTTTCTCTTCCGCAAAATGGATCAATTACCAATACGCATCTCGTGGTTGCTGATGGTATTCGGCAAGATCATGCATGTCTAATTGTTGCCCGTGCTCCAGGCATGCAGCAAGTCCTTAATCATTGCTAACGGTTTCTATAATCCCTGTTTTGATCAGAATTAAAGAAGGAAAAACTTGAGTCAGGATTTCTCCCGAATCAATTTGTTTAAACAATCATTCATTCATTTAGGCAGCTACTATTTCTTTAAAAATTTTTAAATGTTTGTTTTTGAGAGAAAGAGAGACACAGAGCGTGAGCAGGGGAGGGGCAGAGAGAGGGGGAGACACAGAATCTGAGGCAGGCTCCAGGCTCTGAGCTGTCAGCAGAGAGCCCTACGCGGGGCTTGAACCCATGAGTCATGAGATCATGACCTGCGCTGAAGTGAGAGACCCAGCTGACCGAGCCACCCAGGCGCCCCAAGGTGGCTAGTATTTCTTGACCAATAGCTCTGTGTTAAGCTCTGTCCTAAGATGTAGGGCTGTGGAAATGAATGAGACATCGAATTGTCTTCATGACCAAGTGATGAATTATACATTTAAATGGATTTAAATAAACTACTATACAACGTGCTAGGAAAGTGAAGGACCGGTCCTGTGGCTAAGCCTGGGGGGAGGGTCAAGGAGTGAACCCCATAGAAAGTGATACATTTGAGACGTGGAAGATGAGTAGGTATAAAATTGGTAGAAGTAAAATATGTGTGTGTGTGTGTGTGTGTGTGTTGGTCTGTCATCTATTTGTCCATTTATTTTTTACCAAAGTGAAAT